AGGAGAGAGAGAGTGGATAGGACATTGAAGGATTTTTTAAAACCCCATATCCTTTCTTAAAGATTTTGATATGGAGTCTGATTGGGAATCACTGAATGAGGATGTTGACTATGTACTTAAGTTTTTTTTTTTTCCTTTTTGTCTTTTTTCGTGACCGGTAACAGGATCGCAACCCTCAGTGCCGCGCCCGTACTGCGACCGGCAACGGGATCGCAACCCTCGGTGTCACGCCTGCACGGTGCTCAACCAGTGAGCAGACCGGTCTCTATATGGGATCCGAACCCTCAGCGGGAGCGCCACCACGCTCCCAAGCGCTGCACTCTACCGAGTGCGCCACCGGGCCGGCCCTGTACTTAAGTTTTTATACAAGAATCTTCACCCATGGGTGGGAATATTATCACTTAGGAAAAAGAATAGAGTACATGGGAAAAAAGGAGAGGGCCTAGGATTGAGCTTTGATAATCTAACATCTGAAGGTTTAGTAGAAGATAAGACGTTTGAAGAGATGAAGAGGAGCAGCCCAAAAGAGAAGACAAAAATAGAGTATGGTATCGCAGAAGCCAAAAAAAAAAAGAAAGTTTTAAGAGAGGTAAGCAATAGTCAGATACTGTACTGCTAAGTATTTAAGTAAGATAAAAACTGAAAAAGTTCCTTTTGATTTAGCAGCACGTAAGGTTCTGCATATATACACTCATATTATACTTGAAGAGAAATGTTAAGAGAAAAAAGGAAACAAAACACTTTCGATGACATCTGCTGCTCTTGAAATACAGACCACAAGTCCTTTGCATGGCCGCTGAGGTCCTTCATATTTGCCTTCCTGCCATAATGTGGATATCCAGGCAGACAGCAGCAATCTCATCTCCGCCTCTCTTTCCCTGCTTTAGTTACCTGCTCTTCTCTGTTCCTAGAACTTCATATTTGCCTTCCTGCCATAATGTGGATATCCAGGCAGACAGCAGCAATCTCATCTCCCCCTCTCTTTCCCTGCTTTAGTTACCTGCTCTTCTCTGTTCCTAGAGCCCACCATGCTCCTCCCTACCATAAAGTCTTCATATATGTTGTTCCCTCAGTGTAAATGCTCCCTCTAACCTCTTAATTTCGTTCACTTTATTGATCTTTCAGAGCTCAGTTCAAACTCACTCTTGAGACACCCCGTTGTCATGGGCCTCCTGATGTATAAATATGAAGAGTGCAGCTTTCCAAAATACATCACTTTCTTTTAAATCAAAGTATTTTAAAAATTATTTATTCCTTTTTTGTTGACTTAGGGTCACTTTTCAGAATATCATATAACGCATATTTTTAGATAGTTAGAAATTTGAGGCAGTGAGGAGAGAGCACTATTACAGACTTTTTACTTTACAAATCAGACTCTAAATTTAAGTTTCTTTAAACTAGATGCATAGACCAATAAGCACATGAAAAAATGTTCAACATCACTAATCATTAGGGAAATGCAAATCAAAGCCACAATGAGAAACTACTTCACATCCATTAGGATGACTATTATCAAAAAAACAAACGGGAAGTAACAAGCATTGGTGAGGACGTGGAGAAATTGAACCCTTGTACACTGTAGGTGGGAATATAACATGGTGCACCTGTTATGAAAAACAGTATGGTGGGTCTTTGAAAAATTAAAAATAGAACTACCATATATGATCCACTTCTGGGTGTATACCCAGAAAGACTGAAAGCAGGGACTCAAACAGATATTTTTTTCACCCATGTTCATAGCAGCATTATTCACAATAGCATAAATAGCAACCCAAGGGGCATCAACACATGAAAGGTAAACAAAATGTAATCTATACAGTATATACATATATGGAATATTGTTCAGCCTTAAAAAGAAAAGAAATTAGAACACATGCTACAACATAGATGAAGTTTGAAGAAATTATGCTAAGTGAAATAAGCCAGTCACCAAAGGACAACTATTGTATGATTCCACTTATATGAGCTATCTACAGTAGTTAAATTCATAAAACAAGAAAATAGAATGGTGGTTGCCAAGGACTGGGGGGACGGTGAATGGCAAGTTACAGGTTAATGGATACAAGTTTCAGTTTTGCAAGATAAAGATTTCTGGAGACGGATGGTGGTGATGGATGCACAACAAAGTGAATGTACCAAACACCACTGAACTGTGCACTTAAAAATGGCTACTGTGTTAGATCTTATGTTGTGCATATTTTATCAGGATAAAAAGGAAAAAAACTAGATGCACATATATGGTCACTTGGAATATAAGGAAGGTGACATTATATTACAGTGGGTAAGGGATGGTCTGTTCAATAAATGGTGCCAAGTCAACCGGATACCCATATTGAGAAAAAGAAACAAAAACAAACCCTTCATCCCTACCTCTCACCACACACAAACATCAATTCTACATATATTGCAAATGTAAATGTGAAAGATGAAACAATAATGCTTTAAGAAGAAAACACAGCACAGTTTTATAACCCCGGAGTACACAGATTCCTTAAACAGGATATAAAATGTTCTACCATAAAAGAAAAAAATTAAAAATGAAAATATATTAAAACTAAAAACTTCTGTTCACCAAAACATACTAATGAGAGTGAAAAGGCAACCACAGAATTAGAGAAGATATTTACAATACACATATCTGAAAAATGACTCATGCAGACTATATAAACAACTCTACCAATCAGTAAGAAAAGGCAGACAACTCAATGAAAAATTGAGCAAAAGACTTGAACATGACACACATCCAAATAGTAAAAAACATATGAACAGGCAGTCAATTTCATCTGTCACGAGGGAAATGCAAATTAAAACTACCATGAGATACTGCTACAAACCATCAGATTGAAAAGACAGAAAAACCTAAGCATTAGTGAGAATGTGGAACAACTGGAACTCTCATACATGCTGAGAACTTTGGTACATTGGCAGAACTTCAGAAGCTGGGAGTATCTACCATAGGACATGTACTATAATGCATAGAAGCACTTTATGTTACAGCCTAAAAATGAAAACTTCTCAAATGTCCATCAACGGTAAAATGGGTAAATAAATTGCAGAACATTCACCTAATGGACTACTATATATCAATAGAAATAAGCAATCTATAATAATTCTTATCAGCATGGATAAATCTCACAAAATACGTGGTGGCAAAATATGAAGCTGGTTACAAAAGAGTTTGTATTGTATTTTTCCATTTACATAAAGCAAAAAGCATGCAAAACTAATCTGTGATGTGACATAAGTCAGGAGTGGTTACCCTTTGGTTGTAGGAGGGATGTTGGAGCAAGTAGTAACTGTAAGGTAGCCCAAGGGAAGCTTCTATGGGGTGACACTGTGAATCTGAAAGCTATTGGTACTGATAAACTTCTTAAAAGTCCAAATAGAAGAAGAATGAGATAAAAAATATCTGAAGGGTTTTTTTTTTTTGGCTGTTTTAGGACCAGCCATCTAAGAGATTATGAAGAGGATGTAATTATAGCAGGGGTGGATTATGTGTTAAAAATGACATACTACGTGCAAGATATTGTGCTTGATGAAGGCATGAAATCATTCAACAAATATGGACCAACAATCTTTTATGTGCCAGGGAGGTTGTTATAAAACTCCTTCAAGGTAGTGGGGGATACACATATCATACATATACACTGTTAAGAGTTAGCGGGCAGGGAGTGGGGCGGGGAGAACACACACACACAGAAGAAACAGAAGAGAGAGAGGAGAGAGAAAAGAGTATCTGCAGTGAATGCTGGTAGAATGATGAAAGCAAATCACAACAGAAGTATCTATCCAGGAGATGGTGGTTGCCTAATTGTGAATCCTCCCTTTGTTTAAAATCAGAGAATATGGTAAATCAGAAACAACATATATGTAGGAACCCAACTAGACAACCTGGTTAACCACATTTTTCTTCAAACTTTGTTGAACAGAAACTTCCGTGTTAAAAATAAAAGCATAATTTCTTAATGGCGATAATAGAAATGAGATCTGCAAGGAAACCTCTAGTGGAAACAGGCCTTTGGATAGTCAAAGAAGGAAAATTAAATTCAGAAATGGTAGGATTATTCTTTCAGCTTTACTCTTCTTCAACTAAATACTGTCAATCCCAGTCTGCAAATGAGAACAAACATTTAAGGAGATAAATAATGCATGGATGAGTCTGAGAGGCATTTGTCTGGTATATACGAGGTGCCTATTATGTGGTAAGGTGAAGACCATAGTGCAATGGTGGAGACAGATATGTCGATAAATTATTCAAATACAGTGTACTAAATACGTAGTGTAATTAAGTAGGAAAAAGCCCCTGAGGGTAAAGAGGGAGTGACAATGCTTGGGAGGGTTTAAAAAGGTTTCTCTGAGGTGACATTTAAGTTTGGCCTTGAAGGATGGGTAAGAGATTGATGGATATGTCTAGAAGTGCGACGAGAGGGAGGCCAGAAGAAGAACAGAGCGCTGAAGAACCGTGCAGAAACTCAGATGCAATGAATCCTGATAGAACGAAAGCCTAGGAAAGGCAGGTCGGGGGCGAGAGAGCCTAGGATCTTCTACAAGGTTTTGTATGTCAGAAGGCAATATGGCACAGAGGTTAGGAGTCCGGCTTCGTTCTAATTTGGGCTCCGCCACTTACAAGCTGTGCACCGAGTCGGTGTCCCCATTTGTAACATGGGAATAATAGTATTTTCCTTATACAGTTGCAGGGAGGATTAAATGACTGAATGTGTATCGATCAATCAGCAGAGCGTCCGGTTCATATTAAGTGCTAAACGGGAATGTATCATCATTATACTACCAGAACAAAGCTCGGTTTCTGAGGAACGCCGCCACCGCCCCCCGCCTCTTCCCCACTGCCACGACTGGGGAAGGGAAGTTTAGCTCCGGTCGGGCCGCGCCCACTCCCCTCTCCTCCTGCCTCCTAGGCCTCAGACCCTTCCTCAGAGACCAGGGCCAGGCCAGAGAGAGGGAGAAGGGGCCGGGCGAGTAAGGTACACGCTGCCGCTTACCTGGGCTCGGGTCCCGCTCCTTGTCCTCCGCTGACCCGCAGGCCTTGAAGCCAGGCGGCAGCGCCGGCCCGATCAGGTCCCTCGCCATGTGCGATGGCGGACCCTGGTCACGCATACAACTCTATCCACGCACGTCAAATCTACCCAAAAGGCTGCCCGCGACCCGCCGCAAATGCTGAAAGCTTTTCCGGCGCCGACCGATGACGTACAGGCTGTAGTTGGCTGAGCCGAGTACTTAGCGGTAACGGAAGTGACGCCTAAGGCTTGTTCCACAGTCGCGTGCTAGGTTCCAGACCTAGTAGGAGGCATGGCTAAGCCGGCTGGTGATTTTGTGAATCCTGTGGGGTGGCTTCCAGCCCCGGAGCTGACTCCCACGTTGGGGCCCATGAGCAACATCGCCCAGCTGCCTGATAACTGGATGTTCTGGGCCATGCTCCCGCCACCGCCACCGCCGTCGTCGCCGCTCGCAGCCGGGTCAGAGCCTTCCTCGCGCGAAAAAAAAAACATAAATTTCCCTTCAAGCCAGTCAGGTAGCTTAGGCAATTAATCAAACAAAAAGCACTAGAGCTCTGCAGTAAGAAAGGAAGAAAATGCATGTGTGCCCAAGTCATTAT